TAATTGCATTGTGTTAATGAATACAACTAATTTACCTGAATGCATAGGAAATAGCAACACTCTGCACTGTCTATTCTTCATTGGGGAAAGGTCCTGCTGTGACAATTGTTGTCAAGAAGTTTATCAGCTTGTTAGAAGACTATGAAGAAAAGGCCTGATCCTTTTTATCTCAGGTCTGCTTAAACTTTGACAAGAAAGGTCTCAGGCACGAGACTGAGATCCCCAGGTTTACTCTGGATTTACCCTGGAATTTTCATGGAAAAGCTTGAACAAACATTATACCTAGATTGCCTAGTGTACTAGAACCTTTTACATTGATTCCAGAAAGACTTTTACAAGTCAGCAGCCTCACCATCTCAGCTATGAAACTGACCAGAGGACTTTTTACATATCTGTGTGTATATTGATATCTTAACCACTGCAGTGCTCTTCCTTCTTTTTCCTTTTATTATTAAAACCTTCAGTTACTAAAGGATTGGCATCTGCATGATTATTGGGTAAGATTTGAAACTCATACTGACCTGAGAATCGGTGTCCTGTCCTTTGGGACAGGTGGACCTAACATATGATGAATCTGGTTTTCAAGAACCACTCACTATACTAGACTTGGCTCTCTAGGTGGGGGACAAGAGCTGGCATGCTTAAAGTGGACTGTATTTGGCTTCTTGATAACCAGCGTGGTACTACAGAAGCTATTTTGTTACTGGCTTGGTGAATCTAATTATTGAATAAACCACCAGTTTCGGGATTGTCTGCCCTATTCTTTGCAGTCTGCCCTGAATAGAGCATCCTCAGTGTGGCCCATCCAGTCACCCGCTCTCATACACACACACCCCCATCATTGTAATATCTGAGGACTTGTCCATTGTATGACTTTTTGTATCCAGTCTAGCTACACCAGTGCAAACCCCAGTGTAGATGCACTGCACTGATGTAAAATGAATTTTCGCTGCTGTGACTTATCCCAGTTTAAAATAGTTTAACACTGGTGATGCAGAGACAGAAATTTCTCAGGCATCAGCCCAAGACTGTGGCATGAACTCCAAGAGAAACTAAGACCCATCACAAACTTCGCCACTTTCTGCTCTAAGTGCAAGGTGCATTTCTTTGACTTTGCTTTTTCTACCATAAATATATAGCAACATGTAAATAAAAAATCCAGAACAAGACACTTTACCACACTCTCCTCCCTCTGGGGAGCGGATGAGAACAAACGTGTGACAGATGTTAGTCCCATTGTTTGCTGCAGTACTGAAAGATACACAATACTACAGTGACAAGCACGGCATAAGAACCAATAGAGAATAGAATTGAATCTACACTGGGGGGTTTGTAGTGGTGTAAATGTACCTGATATAGACAAGTCTTAAGTGCATCAAACAGATTAATGTATTCATCCTCACAACACTTAGGGTGTCAGAAAATGCTATTATTCCCTACGCTGAAGACGGGAAAATTAAGGCACAGAGAGATTAAGTGACTCACCCAAGATCAACCTGGCAGTCTGCTGCAGAGCCAAAAGGTGAACCCAAGTATGCTGGGTCCCAGTTCACTTCCTTAAACACACCATCTCTCCACCTGTCCTAAAATACGTTACAGCAGCCGAGATTAGGAGCATTCTATCCCCCTCCTCCTGAGCACATGCCATCGGCTAGGGCTGGGAGGATGGGTGATGTAGAGTCAGCTATGCCATCTCTCTGCCTTTGAGGGAAGGCCCTATGCTGGGGATTTTCCCTGGTGGTGACATTGTGGCTCTTCTGGCCCCTTTTCACTATCAGAGCAGCATAAACTCTGCATTGGCCCTAAAGGAGGAGAGAAAAATGAGTCAAAAAAGAAGCACAGTTATAAAATAGGAAATGGGGAGTGTAATTATTATAACATTTAGCTGGAGGGGAAAGTTCTTTGTATCTTTATATTAATTTTTGATAACTCATTCACTCATTATAGGAGATTTAGTTCAATAAAGCTTCATAGGTTTGTCATAAAAACCCCTTGCCCTACCCCATGTCCCCCCACCCAAGAGTGGTATAATTGCCTCATCTGCCTGACACTATACACATTTGTAAAAAGATTGGCACATCTATATCAGAATGGCCCCCTTAGCAGGTCAAAACATTTGTTGGAGCTATTAGTTGAATATGTAGCACTCCTCTGCGAGATAATGCACCCTCCTGTCAAACCTCAGTGCCCCTTTAATTTCCAGTGGCCACTTTGAAGCCAATTTGTTTTTGAAAATAAGTTTCTGACTATTGTATTTCAGTAAATGTGAAGGAAAATGAGAGGAATGAAATAAGAGAGACAGAAGAAAACAACATTCTACTATATACTCAGTCAGAATTTAGAATTTCAGAATTTCCACATCATGAAATATGTTGTGGGGAAGTACTCCCAAAACATATAGAAATGTTTTTTGAAGTGGCAAATTTTATTTAAAATAATTCTGAAGGGCATTTTTCATCATCCCTTTGGGGTTGGAAGGATTTCACAACCCATAGGATGGAACCTATGCATATCTTCTGTTTCCATGTTCCCATCTCGCACTCTAGCAGCATATATGTTCTTGTTTCTAGTGTACTATTACTACCTTCCTACTTCCCCGCGGTCCCTCTCTTCTAAAATTCAAGGTTTCTAAGGCATCCCAGTCCTCCTCTTTTATTGGTCCAGTTTTCTCTTCTGAATTCTTTTCCCACCACTTCATTTCCCTACTCTCTCATGTGCCCAGATGTAGTTCTCATCCATCCATCCATACTCCATAAAAGGTCTGTTGTCTTTCAAATTATTGAGGGCCAGATTATCCACCCCTGTTTTGCTTTGGAGAGCAGTTATTCAGGATATGTCTGCGCTGCATAGTGTACCCTGCTCTGGGCATCCAAGCCCATGAACCTGCACTTGCCAAGCTCACCTCCTAACATCCACGCCGCAGCTGTATGAATGCCTCACCGTCTCGGAGTGAGGTACAGCTCTGGAACAGTTGATGCACCTGATGTGTGCTGTCATAGCTGTGAATACTCCACACAAACTGGAGTTTCTGAAGCAGGGTCACAAGCACAGACTAGTGGGATCTCAGTGTCATGGAGATGTGAGATGACTAGAAGTAGGTCCAGAACTTTTGCATTAGGAAACACATCTTTGTGTAGCTGTGTGAGGAGCATGCACCAACTCCCCCGTGCCAGGAGACACACACGAGGGAGGCCATACCACTCCAGAAGTAGGCTGCTGTGGACACCTGGAAGCTGGCTACCCCAGACTACTACAGACCCCAAGTGAACTGTTTGCGTTATGGAGCCTTGTGATGCAATTAGGACTGTGGTTTACCCAAAAGTGATGGGTAAAACTAATGTGCCCAAAATAACTGCTGGCTTTGTGAGAATAGGCTTCCCAAACTGCACCATGGCTACAATTGCTACACATGTGCCCACAGTTTGCCCTCCACAAGGAGCAAGCAACTATGTCAACTCTTTGGTCGCCCAGGCGTGCATAGCAATGGAGTAGTATCCTACAAAGGATCCTTTGTAGGATACTACTCCATTGCTATTAGGGATGTAAATGGTTAACTGGTAAGCATTCGGCTTACTGTTAACAGGACCTTAGCCGTTAACCCTGGTGACTGGCTGGCGTGACCCCAGCAGCAGTCGCGCCAGGCCAGGCAGGCTGGAGCAACCCTGGTGGGACTCCAGACCCAGGCGGTGGGCTGGAGTGGCCCCGGCCACACTGCTGGGGCTCCGGCTCTGGCTGGTGGGCTGGAGAGGCCCCGGCTTTGGCCACGCTGGCGGAGCTCTGGCTTTGGCCACACTGTGCCAGCGGGTGGGCTGCAGCAGCCCCAGCTGCCAGCTGCAGTGGACCGGCAGGGCCCCAGCCCCAGCAGGAGCCCTGCTGCCCCACGCCGTGCTACTGGCGGAATGAAATCAGTTAACAGCTAACCAATCAAATGATATCATTTTAATCCTTTAACCGGTTAACTTTTTTAACCAATATTTACATCCGTAATTGCTATGCAGGCCTTGGCCGACCAAAGGGGCAGGTTTGTGGACACCAGTGCAGGCTGTATTGGCAAGATGCATGATGCCATGGTGCTAAGATCTGGCATTTACCTGTTTGGAGAAGCAGAGACCTTATTTGCTCCAAATGACATGATCATCAACGGGGTCTCTGTGCCCACTAATGACAGTGGACCCTGCTTACACTGTCCTGCCATGGCTCATGAAACCGTACTCTGAGCTCAAAGAACCTGGCAAAAGAAAGCTCAGTAAAATACTTGGCAGTTGCAGGCTGGTGGCTGAGTGCACATTTGGCAGATTCAAAGCAAGATGGTGTTGCCTTCAAAACTGTTTGGATGCAAGCGTGGGCAACACTGTCCATCTCTTTGTGGCATGCTGCACACTGCACTATGTTTGCAAGGTGAAACGAGCATTTTCACATGGAGTGCACTCAAGTAGATCTCAGCATATCAGTGTGAGAAAGAGGTTGACAAGCTGTAACCTGAATGTTATGGAGATCATAATACATGTTTTCTTTATTTAAGCTGTGCTTTTTAACACACAGTTCAATACTCCCCTCCAGGTCAAAAGGGAAGAATAGTGTAAAAGATTATTCAAAAAGTGAAAAAGTAACACATACTTCAGGTTCATACAGAAAATAGCACTGTATAATCTGGAAATACGGAAAAGAATATTGAATATCGCAGATTAATTTACCATTGAAGTAGTTGGAGTGGTACATTCTGAATGCCAGTACATTGCTTTTTATTTAATAAGTTAAAGGGCTCTGTCATTCAAATGTTACAACATATTACATAAAGGCATTTGGGGCTGAATAGTGCCGAGATGTATACCACAGTCAACCCCACAGGATACTAACGAGGGCAGAACTTGGCTCTATTTTTTATAAACCTGCCCTTATTGTGATATCTAAGTGCCAGACAAATTCATTTAAGTAAGCACAGACAAAAACAGCAGCAGAACTTTTCAGTGTTTAAATATTCTACACAGGGCAAAAAGAAGTGCATTTTGTTAGGGTAACCTTTTTTTTATTTTAGTTACTTTTTCACATATAACTTCTTGTAAGCTACAAAAGTTGTGAAATGCAAAAATGGTAATAAAACAGCAAACTTAAAACAGCTTAGATAAAAAACTTGTCTTTTCCCCCTAATAATGACCATTAAAAATGAACCACATTTTGACGGATTCATTCAATAAACATACCATACACTTTCCAAAAATAAACAGAGAACAACATTAGAGAAACTAATACCATCAACAGCATGAAGTATTTAGTTGATTGATTTGTAAAGACAAATGAAATCTCGAGGCACAGTTTTAGGCATTATAGAGGACACACAGGCAACAGGTTAGTGTGCACTGTTCTGTACAAAAATACAGTCTGAATAAATTACATTGCTAGCCATAAGATTAGACTTCACTTACCAGTTAGTTCATTGCATGTTTAATAATATACAGTTACATGCTAATCCATATATCATTCATATTTCAAACACATAGGTCTCTATATTTATGTCTTTAAAATTTACATGTTGAACTTACAAAAGCTAAATGTAGTTGTGCAAGAAATTCAAAAGAGTGGGTTGGTACTTGTTGCACCAGATAGTATACTTTAAGCTTAAAAAATAAAAATAACTAGCCCTGCTTGCAAGTTCACTATATATATCTGGAAGAGAAACAATGGGTTTGTGGTGTGAAAAATTACCTTGCTAGTGAGATAAAGCCAAATATAACTGAAATGATGAAGGCATGACATAAGAATAATATATAAAAATGATAAGTCTATTGTAAATACACTCCAACACAGGAGTGTTTTATTCTATGGGTAGAAAAAATATTTCAGCTTTACATTGTATTTACTTTTAGTTTGGTGCCAAAACATTCAATATTTGGCAATCTTGGCCATGGTAGGGGAAAAAGCAGCAGCATAGGCTAAAATTAGGTGCCTAATTCCATGCTTAGGCCCCTAAATAAAAAGGACCTGATTCTGAGAAGTTTCCCCACACACAAATCCAACTAGTTTCATAGAGTTTAAGGCCAGAAGGGACCATTAGATCAGCTAGACTGATCAATATAACACAGGCCATTAAATTTCACTCAGATGCGTTTGAGTTAGAACAAAACATTTCAGTCCTCAGGAAACTAAACTTTGTCCCACATGCAGAGAACAGAAGAGACCAAGATGCCACCAATGCCCACGGCCGCTGCAATGGCAGGGAACTGATTATGTGATTATGTGCTGATCACTTGTAGATCCCATTATCTTCAATGGAAGTTGTAGGTATTCAGAACCTCTGAAAATCAAGCCTCCCCCTCCCCCCGATTTTTGATGCCTAAATATGGATACAGGATCCTAACTTTAGGCACTCAAGTTTGAAAATTTTTGCCTAAAGGCCTTTTGTGTTATGAATTGTGTTTTCTCCAGTATATGTGCAACTTATGTGTATATGCAATAGCCCACTGAATATCTTCTCTCTAGCTACACAGAAAGAGAAAGGGAGTTTATTAAGATTAGTAGATATGACATAGGTCGAGCATTGTACGGCTTCCTCTCCTTGTACGAAGCAAAATGCTGTGTAACGGTCAGCACCAAACCACCACTCCCCTAAAAAGGAACAGAGATCCACTCACAGTAGGCTTCTTAAAATTAGCCTAATTCCCATTCCATCACACAATGTTCCTAATGCAGCTAAATAAGAGCAGCGTTACGCTGCAGTCCAGAAAGATTTGCAGTTAACCACATGCCAGGCCTCGGCTTTAAGTCACGCAGGAAAAAATGCAGAGTTCCAAAGATTCTCAGCTGCCTGCAAGAAAGTGAAAGGTGCTCTCCTCCTTTCCCTCATGCCCTTTTGCCCTCGCTCTTCAGCAGGATGCACAAAAACATTTAAGTGAAGCTATTATTTTGCTCTGTCATCCTAGTCTAGCTAATCATCACTGATCCAGGGAAAAGTGCTGATGTGGACTATTCTCCTGTGATATTACACATTCTCTCCCAGAGAGGCCTATGTTGGCTAAGAACTGGGTCTTGTTTGACAGAAAGACTTTTAAGAACAACAGGCTACAAGCAGGTTTACGCTTCTTCTATACCTATTGCTGAATTGCCTCTCTCTGAAAACTGTGGCGAGTACATTTAATACTATAGGATGTGGTCCTAATGTTAAGTAATTCTGCAATCCTTTTGCAGAACCAGCAATACATCAACAATACGAAAGCATTTTTACAGCTTCAAAGTCCCTGTTCTTACAGAGGCCCAACTAGGATATATTTTAAATTTCTCAATTAACAAAAATAATTATTTCTGAAGTTGTATATTAGAGTTGTATAAAAATATGTTCACAATTAATCCAAAGTACCCAAATAAGCAAATATTAAACAAAAATAAAAGTTATGCTATGTAAGTCAATTTAAAAATTCCACCCTAGTTTAATTTGGGTCTCATTTCATTTGTATAGCCTCTGGAAGTTTTAAGTGGGAAACATTCAGCAAGTAGTAAATAGACGCATGTCAATCAACCTTTAGACTCAGAGAACAACAAATATTTGAAAAGGTGTACTTGTGGCACCTTAGAGACTAACAAATTTATTGGAGCATAAACTTTCAGGAGCTACAGCTCACTTCATCAGATGCATGCAGTGGAAAATACAGTGGGGAGATTTTATAAACACAGAGAACATGAAACAATGGGTGTTACCATATACACTGTATCGAGAGTGATCAGGTAAGGTGAGCTATTACCAGCAGGAGAGGAAAAAAAACACACCTTTTGTAGTGATAATTATTTTTCCCCCCTACTGTTCCTCACACGTTCCTGTCAACTGCTGGAAATGGCCCACCTTGATTATCACTGCAAAAGGTTTGTTTGGTTTTTTTTCCTCTCCTGCTGGTAATAGCTCACCTTACCTGATCACTCTTGTTACAGTGTATATGGTAACACCCATTGTTTCATGTTGTTACATTGTTTCATGTTCTCTGTGTATATAAATCTCCCCACTGTATTTTCCACTGAATGCATCCGATGAAGTGGGCTGTAGCTCACGAAAGCTTATGCTCAATAAATTTGTTAGTCTCTAAGGTGCCACAAGTACTCCTGTTCTTTTTGCAGATACAGACTAACACGGCTGCTACTCTGAAACAAATATTTGAGTACATACTGTACTGATAACATTTTTATACTGTACGTAACTGGATCTCAGCTACATTCTTTCAATTAGAGACAGAAACTAACTGGATTTTTAGAAAGTGGTAGTCTCTCTCCATTAAACAGCTTTTTTTAAAAAAAATAAATACTTGTAATAAGTATCAAGCAACTAGCTATTTTAGATTTAATTCCACCTCAAATGTATATGACCTTTTAGAGATTTCCCATCAAAACAGAGCATAAGGGCATACAGAGAAAGCAACCAATTTTAAGATGTTTATTTTGCATTACTGACCCTAAATGGAGATAGCGATCCAAGACTCTTAAGAAGGCATACAAAGTTAGTGCTTTAACCACTGCACCACAGCAAATATTACCATTTTGAGATGTAATGTGTTTCTTCCTCTGCATATGTTTATATATGTTTACATATATATACTCATTTATACTAACAAATGCCTTCTATAAAAATAGTTGGACTTGTTATTTATGCATTTCTACTGCACAGTTTGGAAATTAAAAGGGCATGAAGACAAATGCAGCTCATTTTATTTGCCACAGGGAAATTTGAGGCCCCCGTTACCCCTCGTCCCACCCCACAATACTCAGAGCTGAGACAACTTCCAGCCACATAATTAGAAGCACGTGTCTCCAGGTTTTGACTTCCCTCAGGGATCTGCCACAGTTGGCAGGGAAGATGTGGCTTGCTAATGCATAAACTCCCGGGTTTTTTTTCAGCAAACTGTCCAATGCAGACATTACGAAATTCATTTATCATTTACATTCACTGCCCCCAACACATGGCCATTTGCAACTAATTTCTCAACAGCTTTTTCTAGCAAGTGACCAGGGCCCAACAGCACTTATTGATATAAGATGGCACCACCTGCTTATCATGACATCTGAATCCTCCACGATATAAGGAAACTTCTAAATGGAGCTTATGCCAGCTGCTCCCCTGCAGGCGATGGCAGATGCAGGCACTGCATTTTCACTCCAGCAACGTCCCTCACAATGATCGCTGTCATGTAGATCCTTCGCTTGTTGTCAAGAAAAATGACATTAACGTATCAGCAGCTTGCAACGTTTGCCTGTGTAAGATCAGTAATCTTAATTTTTGCAGTTCTCTTAAATGGATGTAAAAGCTAGTTATAGTGTTTGCGGCCAAAAGGCAAAGGCTATTAAATCAACAGAGCGACTGCTTAATGCTCCACAAGTATTCTAAAAAACAGCGAGTTAGAAAAGATGGAGTAACCCTTTTGTTATTCCATTTTTTTCCCCCAAACTAAAGTGGCACTAGTAGTAGTCTTCATAGATCTTAGGGTTCAGGCAATAAAGGAGGGCACCCCCAAATGAAAATATAGTTGCACCCCAAGCCAGGCCATAGCCCCAGTTGAACTCATGGTATATTTTCAAGTTGACTGTCTCGATGAACTTGACTGGATAAAGGACTAGGCTGCACGCCTGAAGAACAACTGAAAGAGAAATTAACCAAAAGTCAGAAGAGGGTTCTACTCGTTTACATAAAAACACAAACATTACATTACCAACACTCACATTAAAAATGCCTTTGGTTACATGAACCTATTTGAGTTAGCAGCGAAAGAAATAGCAGCCTATCAACACAGAGAGCAATTACATGAATTGGAAGAAATTTGGATCCTGCTTCTTGATACATTTGGGTAAAGAATGTTGAGATAGCTCAAATAATGCTAGACTTCCATTCCACCTCACCTCTCTACTTTTCTCCTCCCTCTGTCCGTCCTCCAATCTCCTCCTTCCTTTTTAAAAAAAAACTGTTAACCCCCCCCCAGACACACTCCAACATGTTATTTCTGTGTAATACCATCTGATTTTGTATTGTTTAGTCTTGCAGCTTTAACAAGTTGTTAAGTTGCATAACTGCGTAATTTAATTGGCTAAATGTAGGGTACTTGGTAATATACACAAGCAAGTCATTTACCTTTTTGTATTTTTTAAAAAGTAATTATAAAAATACCTTTGGTCCAATTTTTATTTGTATATTTTGCTCTGCTTGTACATAAAAATAAACTGACACAAACTTTATTTAATCCATAGAGAGTATAGCAACTCCAATATATTCCCCAGGAGATGAACAAATGTTATTGCTATTGGATAATGATATGATTCTATTTGTTCCCTGGAGATTTGAAGTAACACCAATCTCTTCTCAATTTCCTTTTCTCTACCTTTTTAAGTCTGGAGTTTGCATTTTCTCTGTAATAAAACTAAACTGACTAATCAAATGGATACTATAAATAGAACACATCGAAGATGAGGAGGAATAAAGGAACCTGAAGAAATACAGTTCACACTCAACCAATTTATTCTAAACGACGAGCAGTATGTGATATTAATATGTCCAATTACAATATAATTCTTATGGAATTATATATTATGTAGACATCACCTACTATAATCAGAATTAATAATATATTATATGGATTACCAAAGGAATTCATAAAGCTTTGTCACCTATTGTGAAGTCATAAAACTCTAATATGTGGAAAAATATTTCCTGCATACAGTAAATACAGAGAGGAAAAATATGTCTGGCTCTGGCTCAAAACTGATGAAACAGAGCAAATTCTAGGAAGCGAGATGCTTAAAAATCATTATTTTCTATGATATTGTCCCTGAGAGAGTCAGAAGATTTCATACAGCAAGAGGAATATGCTCCAAACACATTTGCAATGGAATTCAATAAACCTGGTTAACTATTGTGTTGTATCCTGACCAAATGGAATATGCTTACAGTGAGAGTGCATTGTGTGTGCATGCATGGATGAAGAACCTAATTTTCTGTTTGGAGAGCTCAGTTTTATAATGGTCCATCCTTCCCTAATGCAGGTACATAACTACCATTAGCATAATTGAGACAAACAGTTATTGGGTTCAATACAAGGATAAATGGGTGAAATGTAATGGCCTGTATTATGCAGGAGGTGAGACCAGATGATCTAATGGTCCCTTCTGACCTTAAACTCTATGAACTGCAAGTGCACAAGAGGAGAAAAGACACCAGAGCAATGTGATTTCCAGCCTTTTCTCATCCTAAATACACAATGTGCCCCTGATCTCATGAACATTTAAGCAGATGATTAACTTTGCGCACAGGAGCAGCCCCATGATTTCAGTGGGACTATTCACAACCACAATGATAAGCACATGCTTAAGTAATTGCAGCATTGGGACATATATCGTTGAAAACACAGAGCTATCTGATATAACACCACATTTTTTTAAACAAAGAAATGTATTAAATGTAATAAAAATAAGAACGCTATTTAGAGATAATCCTCTATGAGCCCAGTGCCAGATTAAAATTACACTAAAAAAATGACTATTCTGAATTCCAGAATTCTGTCTGAAATTACATTGCAAAATTATAGTAAAATGAAATACATCTTAATTGTATTATCCTGGTGTTTAAACATTTATTGCACAAAAAATCATTTTCATTTTGCTTTTTAGATCCTCCCTGTGCACTCTTTTCCTCTTTTAAGTAAATGGCTTTAGTGCTACCAAAAGATGCCAATTTGACTGCACTAGAGACTAAAGCCCTCGATTTACTGGCAGAACAGGAAGTGCAACAACAATAGCACAAAATTGTCCTGCCAATGAATCTCAACCCAACACTGTCTCATAGACTTTAAGGCCAGAAGGGACCATCATGATCATCTAGTCTGACCTCCTGCACATTGCAGGCCACAGAATCTCACCAACCCACTCCTGTAATAAACCTATAACTTCTGGCTGAGTTATTCAAGTCCTTAAATCCCACCCACTCCTGTGATAAACCTATAACCTCTGGCTGAGTTATTCAAGTCCTTAAATCATGATTTTAAAGATGTCAAGTTACAAAGAATCAATCATTTACTCTAGTTCAAACTAGCAAATGACGCATGCCCCATGCTGAAAGAAGGTGGTGAAAAAATCCCCAGGGTCTCTGCCAATCAGATCTGGGGAAAAATTCCTTCCTAACCCCAAATACGGTGATCAGTTAGACCCTGCGCATGTCAGCAAGACCCACCAGCCAGACACCTGGGAAAGAATTCTCTGTAGTAACGCAGAGCCCTCATCATCTTATGTCCCATCTCCAACCACTGGAAATATTTGTTACTAGCAGTAACAGTTGGGCGACATGCCATGGTAGGCAATCTCATCATACCATCCCCTCCATAAACTTATCAAGCTTAGTCTTGAAGCCAGTTAGGTTTTTTTTTTTGCTCCCATTGCTCTCCTTGGAAGGCTGTTCCAGAACTTCACTCCTCTGATGGTTAGAAACCTTCACCTAATTTCAAGCCTAAAACTTGTTGATGGCCAGTTTATATCCATTTGTTTTTCTGTCAACATTGGTGCTTAACTTAAATAACTCCTCTTCCTCTGTGATATTTACAGAGAGCAATCATATCTCCCCTCAGCCTTTGTTAGGTTAGGCTAAACAAGGCAAGTTCCTCAAGCCTTCTCTCATAAGGTAGGTTTTCCATTCCTCTGATCATCCCTGTAACCCGTCTCTGCACCTATTCCAGTTTGAATTCATCTTTCTTAAACATGGGAGATCAGAACTGCACATAGTATTCCAGATGAGGTCTCACCAGTGCCTTTTACAACGGTACTAACACTTCCCTGTCTCTACTGGAAATACCTCACCTGATGCATCCTAGGACTGCATTAGCTTTTTTCACAGCCACATCACATTGGTGACTCATAGTCATTTTGTGGTCAACCACTACACCCAGGTCTTTCACCTCCTTTGTCGCTTCCAACTGACAAATCACCAGATTATAGCAAAAATTTTTGTTCTTAGTCCTAAAATATGTGACCTTGCAATTTACACTATTAAATTTCATCCCATTTCTATTACTCCAATTTATAAGGTTATGCAGATCATCTTGATAGATTTTCTGGTCCTCCTCTGTATTGGCTATACCTCCCAACTTTGTGTCATTCTCAAATTTTATTAGCGCACTCCTCCACTTCTTGTGCCAAGGTCATGAATGAAAATATTAAATAAGATTGGTCCCAAGAGCAATCCCTGAGCAACTCTACTAGTAACCTCCCTTCAGCCTGAGAGTTCACCTTTCAGTCTGACGCGTTATAGTCTCCCCTTTAACCAGTTCCTTATCCACCTTTCAGTTTTCATACTGATCCCCATCTTCTCCAATTTAACTAATAATTTACCACAGGAACTGTAACAAATGCCTTACTGAAATCCAGGTAGATTAGACCTACTGCATGTCCTTTGCTTAAAAAAAATCAGTTATCTTTTCAAAGAAAGATGAGGTGGGCCTGGCATGATCTACCATTTGTAAAACCATGCTGTATTTTATCCCAGTTACTGTTCACCTCTGTGTTCTTAACTACTTTGTCTTTCAAAATTTGTTCCAAAACCTTGCATACAACTGAGGTCAAACTAACAGGCCTGTAGTTTCCTGGATCACTTTTTTTCCCCTTTCTTAAAAATAAGAACTATATTAGCAATTCTCCATTTACAGATTCATTAAAAATCCTTGCTATTGGGCTTGCAATTTCATGTGCCAGTTCCTTTAATAATCTTGGATGGAAATTATCTGGGGCCTCCACTTTGATTCCATGAAGCTGTGTGAGTTTGACTTCCACTTCGTATGTGGAAATTTCTACCTCCATATCTTCATTTCTATTAGTCATCCTGTCACTACCACTAAACTCCTCATTACCCATATTAAAAAGTAGGGTAAAGTATTAGTTGAGGTGCTGGGCCATGCCTAGATTATCTTTAATTTCCACCCCATCCTCAGTGCTTAGTGATCCCACTTCTTTCCTTGTTTTCTTTTTATTTATATGGCTACAGAATCTTTTACTATGGTTTTCATTTCCTTAGCTAGGTCCAAGTCTGCTTGGTTTTTGGCAGTTCTCACTTTTTCCCTACATCTTCTGATCTCCAAGAGGGAGCTTTCCTTGCTGATCCTTCCCACCTTCCATTCCTTGTAAGCTTTCTGCTTTCTCAATCACCTGTTTGAGATGCTTGCTCATCCAGTTTGGTCTGCAACCCTTCGCTGTGAACTTTTCCCCCCTGCTTGGGATGCAGTTTTCAGATAGTTTCTGCAACTTTGACTTACAGTAATTCCAAGCCTCCTCCACATTCAGATCCTTGACTTCTTTGGTCCAGTCCACTTCCCTAACTAATTCCCTTAATTTTTTTAAGTTAGCTCTTTTGAAATCAAGGACCTTTGTTGCAGATCTATTTTTGTTTATCCTTCCATTTAGTTTAAACTGAATTAGCTCATGATCACTCAAACCAAGGCTGTCCTCTACAATCAGTTCTTCTATGAGGTCCTTACTACTCACCAATACCAAATTTAAAATAGCATCACCTTTTGTTGGTTCGGGGACTATTTGGTGATGAAATCTGTCAGTCATCACATTTCAGGAATTTCTGGGCCCTAACATTATTAGTAGCACTTGTCCTCCA